ACACACTCTTCTCAGCTGCATGAGGGATGTTCTCCAAAATAGACCACATACTAGCTCATAGAACATGTTTAAGTAAATGCAAAGGAATTGAAATTGTCCCATGCATATTATCAGACCACAGTGCAATGAAATTGGAAATCATTGCCAAAAGAAAGCATGAAAACTTCATAAACGCATAGAAATTAAGTTAAATAACATTGTCCTGAACAACCTATGGGTCACAGATGAAATTAAAGAAGAAATTAGACAGTTTCTACAATTAAAAGATAATACCAATACAAACATACTGGAACTTATGGGACACAATGAAAACAGTCCTAAGAAGGAAATTTATAACAGTGAATTCCCATATCAGAAAGAGAATAAGCTCAAATTAATAACCTAATGTTGAATCGCGGGCTTATAGAAAAAGAAGAGCAAGTCAAATTCAAAATTCTTATGAAAAAGGAAATTATAAAGATCAGAGCAGAAATTAATGCAATTGAGACTAGGAAAACAATATAAAGAATCAATGAATCAAAGTTGGTTCTTTGAAAGATTAAATAAAATTGACAAACTCTTTGCCAATCTTATCAAAAAAAAGGAAATCAAAGATTCAGATCCCTACAATTAGGAATGAAAAGGTTGAAATTACAATGGATCCTGAAGAAATACAGAAGATCATTAATATCTACTTCAAGAACTTGTATTCTAATAAGTTGAAAAACATAGAAGAAAGGAACAGATTTCTAGATACATATGAATTACCAAAGCTGAATCAAGAAGATATAAAAATTCTACATAACCCAATATCAGTCAATGAAATTTAAGATGTAATTAAAAATCTACCAACAAAGAAAGGCCCAGGACCTCACAGATTCACTGAATTCTACATGAAATTTAGAGAAAATCTAATGTTGCAAATTCTCAAACTCTTTAATGAAATTAGAAGGAAAGCAATACTCCCAAAGTCATTCCTGGAAGCAAGCATTACCCTGATACCAAAACCAGAGAAGGATCCAACTAAAAAAAGAAAACTATAGGCCAATCTCCCTAATGAACATAGACACAAAAATCCTCAATATGATACTGGCAAACAGAATGCAGCAAATCATCAAGAAGTTTATACAACATGACCAAGTAGGATTAATCTCAGGGATGCAGGGATGGTTTAACATACACAAATCAATAAATGTAATACACCATATTAACAGAGCCAAGGACAATAACCATAAGATCATCTCAATTGATGCAGAAAACGTGTTTGACAAAATCTAACACCCATTCATGACAAAAAAAAACCTACAGAAAGTTGGAATGGATGTTCTTTATCTCAATCTGATAAAAGCCATCTATGACAAAACAACAGCCAACATCATACTAAATGGACAAAAACTGAAATCTTTCACTCTAAAACCAAGAACAAGAAAGGATGTCCAATATCACCACTCCTATTCAATAAAGTTCTGGAAACATTAGCCAGAGCAATTAGATAGGATAGAGAAATAAAAGGAATAAGGACAGGAAAGGAAGAAGTTATATTATCATTGTTTGCGGATGACATGATACTCTATATAGAAGATCTGAAAAACTCTATCAAAAGACTTCTAGATTCAATAACCAAATTCAGCAGCAGAGCTGGATACAAAGTCAGGAATCAAAAATCAATAGCATTCCTATACACTCACTGAGAAAGAAATTAGGGAAACAACACCTTTCACAATAGCATCCAAAGAAATGAAATACCTAGGAATCAATCTAATGAAGGAAATAAAACAACTGTACATTGAAAACCACAGTACTCTGAAAAAGGAGATAGAAGGGGATATCCCTTTTTCTTGGGTAGGAAGAACCAATATAGTGAAAATGGCCCTACTTTCAAAAGTGTTATTATACAGATTTAATGCAGTCCCGATCAAAATATCAATAGCATATCTCACAGACTTAAAGAAAACTATCCTAAAATTCATTTGGAACAAGAAGAGACCTAGAATAGCAAAAGCAATTCTGGATAACAAAAGCAAGGCAGTGGGAATCACAATTCCTGACTTGAAATTATACTACAAAGCTACTGTGATAAAACAGCATGGCACTGGCTAAAAAACAGACCCGAGGATCAAGGAAACAGATTAGAAGGTGCAGAAACAACTCCAAACATACTCAGCCACATTATCTTTGCCAAAGGAGCCAAACTAAACACCTTCACTGGAAGAAAGATAGCCTCTTTAATAAATGGTGCTGGAAAAACTGCCTTTCCACATGTCAAAGATTAAAATTAGATCCATTTTTACCATGCATTAAGCTAAAATCGAAACGAATCAAAGATCTAAATATTAAAACAGAAACACTAAATCTCCTGGAAGAGAGAATAGGTGGAACTATTGAAGACACTGGTGTAGGCAGAGACTGTATGAATGAATCCCCAATTCCACAGGAAATATCACAAAGAATCAACAACTGGGATTTCATCTTATTAAAAGACTTGCACAGGGCCGGGAATTTAGCTCAGTGGTTCCACTGCCTGCCTTGCAAGCTAAGGAGCCTAGTTTGATCCCCAGTACCAAAAAACAAACAAACAAAAAAGACTTGCACAGCAAAAGAAACCACCAACAGAGTGAAGAGACAGCGCAGAGTGGGAAACAAATTTTTGTCAGCTGTTCCTCAGAGAAAGGACTAATATCTAGAATATATAAAGAACTCAGAAAAAGCAGACACCCCCCCCATTTTAAAGACCCAATCCAAAAATGGGCATCTAAAATGAGTAGATACTTCTCAGGTGATGAAGTAGAAATCCAAATAAATATATGAAACAATGTTCAACATCATTGGTCATTCGAGAGATGCAAATAAAAGCAACACTGAAATTCTATCTCACTCCAGAAAGAATGGCTGCTATCAAGAAATCAACCAATAACAAATGGTAGTGGGGGGTGTTGGGAAAAGTTACCCTTCTCCACTGTTGGAGGGAGTGTAGACTGTGCAACCACTGTGGAAATCAGTGTGGAGATTCTTCAAAAATCTAAAACTAGAAGTTCCATTTCACCCAGCTATTCCCTTGCTGGGCATCTTCCCAAAAGAATTAAAAGAATCATGCCACAGCAAAATATGCACGCCCATGTTAACAGCAGCACAATTTGTAGTAGCTAAATATTGGAAACAGCCTAAATGCTCATCAACCAATGAATGGATAAAGGAGATGTGGGATTTTTTACATAATGGAGTACTACTCTATCATAAAAAAGGACACACTTGAGACATTTCTAGGTAAACAGATGCACCTTAAGATCATACTCTTAAGTAAAATAAATCAGATACACCTGTATAAGTACCACGTTATTTCTCTGGTGTGAAAAACCAAAAGTGTAAATAAGGACCAAAATATATAATAGATATTGTGAAATGGGAAGACAATGTTCAAATGGGAAGGAGAGCAAGGGAGGGGGAAGGTGGATGTGAAGGAAGGGACAAGAAAAAAGAGAATAGAAAGAAAAAATGGAAATTAAGCTTTTGTAAATAAGGATGGGAAGAGGGGTTGAAGGCGGGAGAGGAATGGGGAAAAAAAGAAGATGCAAGATATAACATGTACAAATTCCCTATGATGAATGTTATCATTATGCATATCTATTTACCAGTAAAATTAACAGAACAAAAAATAAAGAAAAAAATGGAAAAAAAAAAGAATTGCATGAAGGAGGGCAAAATCTGGAGCAATGATGTGAATACCATATATAAATCGTGTTTGATGAAGACTGAAAATCATCCATTTGCTTCATCAGCGGCAGATAATTTGTATTGCAGAATCATTTCAGTGGAGTTCTGGAGGTCAAATTCATACAGCAGGGGACAGAAAGCTAAATGGCATGTGGAGAAGTGAAGACAATGTGTGTAGGTTGTTTCTGATACCATGCAGAAATAAGGAGGAAGATGGGGCAGTAGCCAGAGGGAGAAGTGGAATTGTGAGGAAATGCTTTTAAATTTTACTCTAATAAAAACAATTCAGGTGGAGAGGCTTAGGCATGTGGATAGGATAAAGGTAACCAACCAACAGAAATGGAGTCTGAGCTTCAGTAGCACAAAGCCTTGGAGAAATAGCAAAATGAGGACAAAATGAGGAATAATTTTTTTAAAGACCATGGGGCTGCAAGTATAGCTCAGTAGTATAATATTTGCCTAGTATACACAAAGCCTTGAGTTTGATCCCCAGCACTGAAAAAGAAAAGTAAAGCTCTATGGAAATCTCACTAATAGGTAGATCACTTGGCAGCACCAGAATAACGGCGCCCAAGTATGTCCTTACCTTCCTTCTGCTTATGCCACTCCACTTACCCAGGGTGCCTCCTGTCTGATGGCTTATTTTTCACTACTCACCCATTAGTTCATATTCCACCTCCTTAATAAGTTTTAATCTATCAATCCCCAAGTGATCTCTTTCTTATAGCAATTTCATCTTAGCCATCATTTCGACCATTATATACCGCTATATGAAACATCCTTTCATCCTTTCTTTAAGTATCTATTGCTAATCCATTTGTCACATATATGTCTCCTCTACCCTGTTAGACTATATACCCCTGAAGGGCAGTTTCTATCTTAGAATGTCCAGCAGCTTCCAAAGTGCCTATGCTGGCTGAGAATAGGGTCTCTATAAATCTTGTTGATATATGATTAAACAGAGGCAGCCTGTTGTGCAGGAGGAAACAAGAACATGCTGAATCAGGCAGGTTCTTAATATGCATGGAATCATTTTTGTCTCTCAATGAGAAATAAGGAAACTATGTCTTGAAAAGGTAGAATAAGTTTATTTGAAGTGATAAGGTTAGTATGTGGCAGTGCTGGGATTTGAACCAAAAGCTCTTTCTCCTATGCCATTTTGCTTCCATTGTCTACAAAATCTGTTCACATGAAACAACACTGTCATGATGATAATGATAAAGACATAACTCTATTGGGCTTTATTACCAACCAAGCAGTTTCAGTGGCCTCTGCACCTTACAGCAAAATCCCCCTGTGTCTTATCTTACCTCCTGACAATCAGCTTGAGGGTTCGAAAGGAGCCTTTGATGAGGATGAGGGCCTCTTGGCGGGAGCCATACAATGGAGTGCCATTGATATTCACCAACTCATCACCAGTCTTCATCTTCTGGGACAAAGCTGCCTTGCCTCCATCTTCAATCTGTGTTGCATAGAACAAAACAGAAAGCAGGTGGTAAGGGGACTTCCCCATAATTCTACTTCCTGGCTCCTCCCAACCTTGGAGTCACATGTAGGACTAGGGTATGGCTCCAGGTAGCTCCTAGGAGCAGCTGAGAAGTAAATCACAGGCCATTACTTACTGAAGGAAAAGCTTGGGCAAGCCCTCAATAAAAGAGGCAGCACAGAAATAATGCAATCCCTGCCTGGAGGAATGAACAGTCTATTCTGGGACAGAACCACTTTTAAAAACACAAAATGACTCTTGGAAGGAACTCCACAGAATGGCTTTAAAAATGTGCATAAAAATTAGAGTCAGTAGATACAGCAAAAGCTGGCAAATCCTTTCCTATCTTTGGGCAGTCTTTGAAGTCTGATTCAAACTTTAAGTTTGAATATTTGCTCTGTTACTTTCTAGCTGCATGATCCTGCGCAAGTTACCCAACACCTTTGTGTTTCGATTAATTTGCTTGGGAAATGTAGATAGCAAGAATACCTACGTACCATACTGTAAGTACATTACATGTTTGGGAGTAGTAATTCCTTTATAACTATAAGCTTTGTTTATTATAACAAGGTGGTAGACTCTGGAGACCTTGAATTTGGCTGCTAACTCATTCTGAGAGTGGAACTGTAAATTTCAAAAGATCTGAAGTTAGTACAAACAAAGTAGCTACTCATGTATCTACATCTCTTCAACAAGTGCCTAGAACAGGGGTGGTGAACCCATGGTATGTGTGCTCCAGCAGACTGTGTGCCACAGCAGACTGTTTGCATCATTGAAAGCTTTAAAAGGTTTGCTATCTCTGGCCTAGAACCACCCTTGCAGTGTTAAACACACAGTGAGCATGCAGCAAAAGCTGGGAATATGAGTGTTCACTGTTTCGTAATAGACTACATATTTCCTTTGGTTATGGCAATCCAGGCAAGAAAGTTGTCAAGCTGGGAGGCACTGAAAGCGAATGCAGAATTAAAAGCCACTGAGGCAAGCAAAACCAAAGTAAGGCAGAATGTCCCCAAATGTCATTGCGTATGTTTAATTTTATATACAGCATTCCTTTGACCACAAAAGTGAGTAATTAGATTCACCTATTAGAATACCCATTTCATCCAGCATGGTAGGAATCATCTCATCCATCCATCCATCCATCAACTATTTGGTGAATTTTTATTATACACAGATAACATACTAAGTGCTAGAGGTATAAAAATTAACAAAGATAGCTCTCAACCTCAGAAGGGAGTTATTGTCTACAGTTTATATGGCCATTGAAATGGTCAGGTGAGAAAAGGTCCAACTTAATCAGGCATTTTTTGGAGGGAATGGACAGGGGAAGTAAGGATGATTAAACCCTATTGTCCTTGGGGAAAAGCAGATTCTGAAAGGGGCAACTCAGGCGTATATATTCCTCAAGGCATATATATGCTTACTTCCGCTCTTGTTCTAATCTTTCTTTCATTCTTTGTATGTTTGTTGCCTTGTTTTGTTTTAGGTGTGGTAGTGGGGATTGAACCCAGGTGTGCTCTATCACACCTACATCCCCAGTGCTTTAAAAAAATCATTTTTTTAAATTTTGGAACAGGTTTGTCCAAGATAGTCTTGCAATCTTGCTATCTCAGCCTCCTAGAGTAGCTGGTATTACAGGCATGTGCCACCATGTCTGGCCCTCTCAGTCTTTTATAGCATCCCCTAATCTATCCCCACACTGTGGAAGTTAGAATACTGCTGAGTTTTAGGTTGACTAGTTTAAGAGAATTTTGGCAAATAAGACCTCCTAAGTGCAGAGAAAAATGTTAACTCAGGATTTTTTAAACAACCAGGATTTTATAAAAATCAAATAAACTTAACTTCTGAGTTAAATCACAAACTTATTAAATGTATGGCTGCTAACCCAACATATTGTGTGTATTTATATCTTCGTTCTGGTACCTGGGCCACCATTCAAGACAAAACAAGCCAATATTAGTAAATGAGGAATAACTCTCAGCAAGTTAAATAGGATAACATTTCTATTTCCATTGTCATTATAATTATTATTTCTCAGACTTGACTGCCTGTTGCTTAAAAAAGAGAAAAAAAAAGGAAAGCAAGGCAAAGTGCTGTACTTGAATTTTAGAAGTTCTATTTGAATGACTTATTCTTTCGGCATTCATGGAAGGCCCTCAACATTAGGCAGAACTTTCAACATAGATCAGCCATTTGAAAAGGATTCCTGAGGTTAACAAAGGACCACAAAAAGTAGTCTAACTAATGAATGCTAATAGATTTTCCCTATTGATGTACATTAGTCTTCATTCAATCTAGCACTTTTATTCATACAACTCAATTACCCATATTACTGGTACCCACAGCAAATCTTCTCTTCAATATGTAAGTACCACATCTGGCTACTTAAACACAGAATTACATCATCAACATCTCTGTATATTCTATGCCAGAAGATTAAAGAGGTTAATCTTTTTTTTTTTTTTTTTTTGGTACTGGGGATCAAACTCGGGTCCTTGCGCTTGTGCAGCAGGCGGCGAAACAACTGAGCTAAATCCCTGGCCCAAGAGGTTAATCTTTTAAACTAAGATGCTTAATTATCACTGCAGCAAGGCTCAAGCCTTTTATTTTTCCTGTGGCATTGTGTCTGCCATTGAGTTCTTTTTAGAGACTGTTTTCTTGAATTACAGCTTCAGGTTGACAGTGTTCCCTTTTCTGTTCCAGGGCACTTCTCAGTCACATCTTCCACAGGACAGGTAGGTTGAGTGCAATGATGTCACTTTAGTACAAATGTGAGATTGTTCAGACAAGAAACCATCAAATTTTGAGCCCAGCATACTCCTAGAGTCCAAATGAATCAGATCAGAAAATGAAACTTGTTGAAGAGCCCCTGGACTTCCCCACACTAGCTCTTTTCCATATGTAGGCTATTTACTGAGAAGTAAAACTTATTCCTTACTCCTCCAGATTTTTTGGTCCTTTTTTATGATTGTTGACTAGTCTGTCTCTTCCATGTTCTACCTCTTGATTCCTGAGATCCACCATGTCTTGCATTTATTGTTTGGCTTTCTGATAGTTCTCCAAGGTCAACCATACATTTGTTTATATGGATGACAAGACATATGTTGGAGAAGGAAACAAAGAAACAAAGAAAGAGAAAGAAAGAAGAAAAAAGAAAGAAGGAAACAAAGAAAGAGAAAGAAAGAAAGAAAGAAAGACAGAAAGAAAGAAAGAAAGAAAAAAGAAAGAAGGAAGGAAAGAAAAGAAAAAGTGGGATGGAGGGAAAAGAATATCTATATATCTCTTCTATAAAAAGCCTCTTTTTTTCCTTTTCTACTACCCTCCTTGTAACCTGGATGAGGCCCAGGGAAGGTGTGAATCAACAAACTTGCTGAAATTAACACACTCTGCTGTATAACATCATAAGATGATGTCCATTCAGTAAGGTTTCCCAGCTCTTCCTGAATCAAACATTCAGGGTAGCTATCCTGTTTCATTTAAAGTGTTGTGAATTCTCAGATTAGACCCAGATGCACTGGACTGTCTATGTAAACACTCATAACAAAACTCAGTGTAAATGATGGTTAACTTAATGTGTCATTTTGGATTATCCAAGTAATCACTAGGCTACCAGTGAGTGGCCCAAGTAACTAAAAATATGTTGCATAGAGGTCATGCAGTCAAAAGCCAGATGGTTTCTGGAAATCTGGGAGATGTTGATTGACCATGGACAAATTCTTTTCCCCTCCTGCAGCCTCTTTTACCTTTACTGGTAAAATGTGGGCTCTGCCTAGATGATCTCCTTGGGATCTGACAGCTCTGGGCCTTTGCAGTACTGACATTCAGTGACCTGTAAACAGTTAGCAAAGCCATGCATTATCCTTCTGCTGGCAAAGATAATCTCAGCTTTTCTCTCCATTTTACTTTGTCTTCACCAGTGTTTCGCTCCTTTAAAACTGGCTAATTAACATACACTTCTCAGTTCTTTATTGTTTCAGTGTGATTCAACAAGAATGTAACACTTAATAAGGCATAGTTGGGACAATGAGAAAAAAAGATTCCTGGAGCCCCATTTTGTGTTAACGAGTTGGTGATTTGGAAATGTTTGATGGATCTTCAGTGAAGCATAAAGTGTTCTGATAGCTGTCGATGGAGTGACGAGTTGGACCCTTGAGAGTAAAGGGATAGAAAAATGGGTGTAGCAGCACTTTTTAGCAGCTTTTTAGTAACTTTTAGTCAGAAGCAAGCAAATACTTGCTTGTATCTTTTGAATAAATTTAGGAGATATACAGACGTGAAGGAAAGAAATATTAGATAAGATTCATTTTTTAAAAATCCATTCAGTAGTAGAAATACTAGCTCCAACAATAATCAACAAGTATTGAATGCCCATTACAGTAGTGTAAGAGAAGCATTAAAAATTAATGAAATGATTGTGAATACCTCTGCTTTCTACAAGAAATTTACTAGAGAATGTAGGCATCGGCTGAAACTTTCTTCATCAGTTCTCAGAGCTTCAGGCCAAATTACCCAGACCATACTCCTACCTTTACCAGCTTATCTACAGTGTAACAAGCCATGTAACAGAACTGTTCATTGATTTTTTTTTTATTCTTAAATTCTTTTATTGGTACATTTTAGGTATACAATTCCTTTACATTTATCATTGGGTGTTTGTACCTGTACATGATGTATCTTGATTCTTATTTTTCCCCATTACCTATGTGCCCTTCACCCGCTCCATCCTTCCCTATTTACATAGACATCATTTCCATTTTTTGCTTTTCTCATAATTTTTCCTTTCCCTTCTTTCCTTAAACTGAAAATGTAAATAAGGGTTAAAATGATTAAAATGAATAATTGTTCATTGATTTTTTTTGCAAGTAGAAAATGTTCTCATAGCTATAGATAGATAGATACATAGATACATAGATAGATACAGATATATACTCTGAATGTCTTTTTAACATCTTTGAAAGACTTTAAGGTTTTTATAA